CTGTCAGTTCTAGAGTTTATATATTATCCTTCTATGGTTTTTGATGGAGTTGAAGACAGTTATAGTAACACACTAAGATAGAATGGTTAAAATATTATAGTTCTTACTTGATAACTCTTTTGTTATATATAAAGAAGGGGAAGATGTTGGAACCCAGCCCCCATGGGGTCTCTAAGAGTTGTTTTCCAGCATAACCACAGGTACCTCCTGTTTTCCTGACCTCACCCCACTGGGATCAATATCCTGTTGTGAACTCTTTGACCTGGAGTTTTTGTAAGTTTGTATATAAGGCTGCTCCACAATTAAGGTGAGAGACATTCTCTCAGAAAAGGACCAGGAATCTTGTGGTTCATCCAAATCTGCAGGCTTTCGCCCAATATTTGGGCTTAGTGGCCAAGAGCAGTCACAAGAAACCCTAACTAAGAAAGCAACTGAGTCAAGCTAGGAGTGGGAGAGGTGGTCCTCCCAGGGAAGAGCACACCAACTGGTTGTCCAGTGCCAAAAGGTGAGCCCAAAAACATATATATAAGTAAAATTATATGGACTTTGCTGGGTGGTGGTGACGTATGCCTTTGATCCCAGTACTCAGGAGGTAGAGGCAGGCAAGGAGGATCTCTGTGGGTTCGAGGCTAGCCTGGTCTTCAAAGCTACACAAAGAAACTGCCTCAAAAACTAACTCACACACTCTCTCTCTCTCTGTATATATATACACACACACATATATGCAATATATATATATATATTGCATATATTCACACACAAAAACACACACATATGGACTTAACAGGTTATATTTATAGATACATATGTATGTACAAATACATACATACATGCAACAATAATTACTGATAAAAGAGGCCATGAGTTTGAATAGGACTGGGGTGGGTTATATAGGAGGTTTGGAGGGAGGAAAAGGATGTGAAAAATGTAATTAAATCATAAAGTCAAAAACAAACAAAAAACCCCAAACAGCCAGGTCACAGTGGCACAAGCCTTTAATTCCAGCACTCAGGTAACAGGAAAGTGGATCTCTGAGTTCAAGGCCAACCTGGCCTACGGAGTGAGTTCAAGGACAGCCAGAGCCACACAGAGAAAACCCGTCTGAACCCCCCACCAATAAACTAATATAATTATTTTAAAAATGGGCTAGAGAAATGGCTTAGCAGGATCACAAACAAAAACATTAAAAAAACAAAACCCCTATAAGCCAGGTGTGGTGGCACACACCTTTAATTCTAGCTCTGAGGCAGAGGTAAATGATCTCTGAGTTCAAGGCCAGTTTGGTTCCAGAACAGCCAGAACTACATGGTGAGACTGTCTCAAAAACAAACAAATAAATAAATGAACTATGGCCAGGCATAATGACATACACTTTTAGTCTCAGCATTCTGGGAGGCTGAGATAGGAGGATCTTTGAGTTAGAAGCCTGTCTGGTCTATAGAGCAAGTTTTAGTACAGCCAGGGCTACTGAGGGTGACCCTGTGCTGCATAAACCACTGTCTTTTACTCAGTCTCCAAATGAACACCATGAAAGGCACACTGAATGGTCAGTAGCAGGTGCTATTTGTAACCTGAACTCCAGCTAGGTGTAGTGATATATGGCTATAATCCCAGCACTGGGAACACAAGGCAGGAGTCTGCAAATTTGAGAGTAATGGACCCTGTTTCAAAAAGCCAAAATAAAATAAAAATCTTATCTCTATTAATGACTTTTTTTGAGATGGGGCCTCTCTAAACAGCCCAAGATGGCCTTGAACTCTCAGCCCTATGCACCGCACCGGCTCTATTAAACAACTCTTGAAAGTACACACCTTCTTTTCTCTGACAACTCAAAACAGCTACCAAGAGTTGTTTCAAATATTAGTGAAAATAGAAGGGCATGAAAACCATATTAAATAAGGACATAACCCACATTATCAAACTAGGAAGATGGCTGAGCAGGTAAAGGAACACTGAGCCTAGCAACCTGCCTTCATTCCTGGAACCCACATGGTAGAAGGAAATACCTCCACAAGTGCACCCACATACAATAATGTAACTAAAAAGTCTTTAAAAAGTGCCAGCTAGGTGTGGTGGCACACACCTTTATCCCAGCACTCTGAGAAGCAGAGGCAGACAGATCTCTGTGAGTTCAAGGCCAGCCTGGTCTACAGAGCAAGTTCCAAAACAGCAGGGGTTACACAGAGAAATCCTACCTCAAAAAACAAAACAAAACAAAAAACCCATGCTGGAGTCACATATGATGGTGCTCCCCTTTAATCCCAGCACGAAGGAGACAAGCTGGTGAATTCCCTATGTATAGAGTTCAAGACCAGCCATACATAGGGACACTCTGTCCAAAAAAAACGAAACAAACAAACAAAAAAGGCCTGGGACCTCATAAATGCAGATCATCACATGCCAGGTGACCGACCACCTACCTACAATTGACATGCATCTCTACCCCTTCTACAATTATTTACTTCTTATTTCATGTCAATTGGTGTTAAGCCTGTATGCCTGTGAGGGTATTGGGTATTAAGAGAAAAGATTATATGAACTTAGGGACAGAACTCATGTCAGGTGTCTTTCCTCTCAGAGCCATCTCACAGTCCCTGAAATTTATTGAGCATGAAAAAGTTTAAAAAGAAACTACCACGGAACTCCTACAGCTGATAAACAAAGTGGCAGGATTCAAGATTAACTCAAAAAAATCTATAGCCCTACTATATACTGATGACACATTGGTGGAGAAAGAAATTAGAGAAACATCACCCTTTACAATTGCCACAAGCAACATAAAATACCTTGGGGGTAACACTAACCAAAAATGTGAAAGACCTGTACCGTAAGAATTTTGACTCTCTAAAGAAAGAAATTAAAGAAGATACCAGAAAATGGAAAGATCTCCATGTTGATAGGTAGGATCAACATAGTAAAAATGGCAATCTTGCCAAAAGCAGTCTACAGATTCAATGCAATCCCCATCAAAATCCCAACACAATTCTTCACAGACCTTGAAAGAACAATTCTCAACTTTACATGGAGAAACAAAAGACCCAGGATAGGCAAAAACAACCCTGTACAATAAAGAAACTTCTGGAGGCATCACCATCCCTGACTTGAAGCTTTATTACAGAGCTATCGTCCTGAAAACAGCTTGGTTTTGGAACAAAAATAAACAGGTAGATCAATGGACTAGAATTGAAAACCCTGATATTAACCCACACATCTACGAACACCTGATTCTTGACAAACAATCCAAATTTATATGCTGGAACACAGAGAACATCTTCAACAAATGGTGCTGGCATAACTGGATTCGAACATGTAGAAGACTGCAGATAGACCCAAGCCTATCACCTTGCACAAAACTTAAGTCAAAATGGATCAAAGACCTCAATATAAACCCAGGCACACTAACCCTATTAGAATACAAAGTGTGAAATACCATTGAATTAATAGGTAAAAGAGACCGCTTTCTGAACATTATACCAGTAGCACAGACACTGAGATCAACAATTGATAAATGGGACCTCCTAAAACTGAGAAGCTTCTGTAAGGCAAAGGACACAGTCAGCAAAACAAAAACAGCAGCCCACAGACTAGATACCATCTTACTCCTGTCAGAATGGCCAAATTCAAAAACACCAATGACAGTTTATGCTGTAGAGGATGTGGTGAAAGGGGAACACTTCTCCACTGCTGGTGGGAGTGCCAACTTGTACAGCCACTTTGGAAATCAGTATGGCAACTCCTAAAGAAAATGGGAATGAGCCTACCACAAGATCCAGCAATTCCACTCTCAGACATATACCCCAAAGAAGCACATTCAAACAACAAGGACATCTGTTCAACCATGTTCATAGCAGCACTATTTGTAATAGCCAGAAACTGGAAGCAGCCTAGATTCCCCTCAACCGAAGAATGGATAGAGAAAATGTGGTACATTCACACAATGGAGTTCTACTCAGCAGAAAACAATGGAATCTTGAAATTTGCAGGAAAATGGATGGAACTAGAAGAAACTATTCTGAGCAAGGTAACCCAATCACAAAAAGACAAACATGATATGTACTCACTCATATGTGGATTTTAGTCATAGAGTAAAGGATTACCAGCCTACAATCCACACTGCCAGAGAAGCTAGTAAACAAGGAGGACCCTAAGAGAGACATACATGGTCCCTGGAGAAGGGGAAAGGGTCAAGATCCCCTGAGCAAATTGAGAAGAGGAATTGAGAACAAGAATGAGAAGGGAAGAAGAGGAAGGATGCAGAGGTCATGAGGGAGCAGAAAGGTTGAGTCAGAGGAAGAATAGAAGAAAGGATAGGTGATAGGTAGGGTTTTAGTTGGGAGGGGGGTGGTAGGGGAGGACGGAGGGAGAAGGGAACTGGGATTGACATATAAAACAATCTTGTTTCTAATTCAAATAAAAAAAATCTGAAAAGAAAAAGAAAAGTTTAAAAAGCATAAACACTTTAGAATTCATTCTGGCCCTGGTGGTGCATGCCTGTAATGTTAAGAACCAAGTAAGTAAAAGAGAGTATTGAGAGTTCAAGGCTTGCCTGAAATGTAGACTAAAAAATGGGAAAAAAGGGTTTTGGTCTGGGGATGTAACTCAGTCCATAGAGGCACCACATAAAAACTGGGCAGAGTAGCACATGCCCATGATCACAGCACTCATGAGGAGGGGCAAGAGGATCAGAAGCTCTGTATCATCCAGGGCTGCACCTGTGATACCTGGGCTACTGTCTCAGAATACAAAACAAACTTGTTATTTTCAGGTTTTTGGATTATGGAAGTTCAATTTATAACTAGATTTAACTGATCCACTCAAGTTCTTTGCTTCACTACTAAAAATGTGGCTACCTTGAAACATCAGAGCATTTGGGCCAGTGAGATGGCTCTGCCCTTTCTATGATTATAAAACTTGGTACAGGCTATCAAACCCAGGGTCTTGCTCCTGCCAGACTAGTGCTGTCTCCTCCACCCTTCCAAACTCTGTAATTCAACACTTACATCTTGATTATACTCCAAGAAGACGTGGAAATTTAAATCTTTTCTCAAAATAGGATGTGCTGCCACACGACACAGGAACACCTCATGCATTGCAACTGTCTTCTTAAAAATTGCCAGATATTCACTAGAAACAACACAGAATTAAGGGTGAGCAATGATGTCAACTACAAGTCATTCTAGCAACAATTCTCTGGAGCATTATAAACATAAAACCAGGAAGGCAAAGACATAATTCATATCAACAAAGCTTTTAGTTGAACTGTTTAGTAAAAATATAAAATTCAATCCTGAAAAGCCTCATGCTATTTTAGTATTTATTGTATCTAAACGTTAGTATCTTAAGTCTTACAAACTTTTCTATTATGCAAGTTGATGTTAGGTCACTATTGGGGTATACGTTTTTTAGCTCTAGAGAAACTATCTGATACAACCACAAAAATTCAATTTTTATTTAATTACAGCCTGACACACTTGAACACAAAAAATACCTAAATCGTGTTAATCATATTTTCAGTTAATTATTTTCATATAGTAACCTAAAATATGTGAGAAAGACCAACCACGGAACATCTATTTATGACATTATATTGAAGAAATGTGTTTAAGATGTATTATCAATGCCTCCAAGCAACCATAGAGCAGCACATGACAGTTGGGGGAGGAGCACTAGAGGAAAAGGCCTGATATTCTTGCTTCAACTTCGAGCAAGAAGCATACGTTTTACATACCAGCACACAGCAGGCTCAGTGTTGGGAGCAGTTTGATCTCTGTGAGGGAAGCCATTCAGTGAAGACAAAAAAGAAGGGTGCAGAGGATGTAGGTGGCAGTGGACACACCCAAGGCTCTGCTATCCAACCCCTAACCAGACCACAAAAGAACCACAATCAGGGCCCCTGGAAACCAGGGGCTTCAGGAGTGATGTGTCTGCTAGTTTCCAGCTCTCAGTATTCTAAATGTTAACTATATTAGTGTGTTAGACTACTGCACCCAGAATGGACAGAAGTTCAACGTGTACTCTGTAACAAGGACCTAGTTCATTTATCTTTTCACAATAACTTAGCATTCTGAAAAGGAGTTTAGCAGCACTGTGAATAGATGCTTGAAAACACACTAGAAAGAAGAGTAAAGAAAATGAACCAAAGAGAAAAGAGAAATGGAGGTGGCAATACAGGAAAATGTGTCCCTCAGACAGTGCTCAGAGCACTGACAAGGTCCTGAGTGCTTTCACACACATGGCCTGCTGCTGTCACTTGTTACTTTAACTGAGTATGTGTGCGTGCGTGCGTGTACACATACTTCCATGTGTGGGGTCAGCTCTCTCATTTCACCTTCTATGGGTTCTGGGGACTCAACTCAACTGCTTTGCCTGTTGAGCCACCCCATTTCCAGCAGGGTTGACACTGTATCTATACTTTCCCTTTTGTTGGTTTTTGTTTGTTTTTGTTGTTGTTGTTGTTGTTTTTCGAGACAAGGTTTCTCTTGTCTTTATATTCTTGTATATTCTTATCTGTCCTGGAACTCACTCTGTAGACCAGGCTGGCCTCAAACTCAGAGATCCACCTCCTCTGCCTCCCGAGTGCAGGGATTAAAGGTATGTGCCACCACCACCTGGCTACTTTCTCTTTGCTTGCTACTGTGAAATAAATAATATTATAAATAATATATTAAAAATGTGAAGTTCACATTCTGTTTTCCATGACTATCATTTAAGATCTGGAAATGTGACTAGCAGGTATCTTTGTTGCAGGTAGCTGGATGGACGCTCTGGGATGGACGATCACATATTGATGACTGATGCTGGCCATCATAAAATTAAACTTTCAGGCTGGAGAGGTGACTCAGAGGTTGAGAGCACTGGCTGCTCTTCCCAAGGTCCTGAGTTCAATTCCCAGCAAGCACATGGTGGCTCACAACCATCTGCAGTGAGATCTGGTGCCCTCTTCTGGCCTTCAGGGACACATGCAGACAGAACACTGTGTCTGTGTGTCTGTCTGTCTGTCTGTCTGTCTGTCTGTCTGTCTATCTACCTATCTCACACCTCCAAAAAGTAGAAAGTTCAAGTTTAATTAAAGGAGGGTGAAACTATTTTCTCAAATATGCTAAAAGTGAAAATTTAACAAGTTTTCAAGGACTTAATATGTTCTGAGTATATATAAAAATAATAATCTTGTCTACATGTGTTTGTGCACATATTTGACTGCCAAGGGGGCCAGAAGAGGATATCAGATCCCACAAAGTTGGGGTTACTGCTGTAAGCCACCTGATAATGCTTCAGTCCTCCCCAACAGCATCAAGCACTCTTAACTTCTGAGCCATCTATCTCTCTGGCCCCCTAAAAGTAATTTAATGAGATAAAAAAATTCTTTTAACTATTCACATTAGTTTGTCCCTGTTCTTTTTCTTTAGGCCAGAGCCAGCAAAGGAAAGGAAATTAAATATACACTTTTTGTTGTTTTGAGATAGTGTTTTATGTAGCTTTGATCTCACACTATAGATGAGGCAATGAGGATAATGTGCTAATGGTGTGTGTGTGTGTGTGTGTGTGTGGTGTGTGTGTGTGTGTGTGTTGCTGGAGTTTTCTTGTCCCACCAGGTCCCACTGCTGCTGCAGCCCTAAATAAACAAACACGATATTAATTATTAAACTGTTGGTCGATTGTTAGGCCTTCTTATTGGCTAGCTCTGTCTTAATTATTAATCCATTTCTATTAAATAAGTATTTCTACATGGTCTTAACTTACAGGAAAAGGGTCCAGACCTGTTACTACTTCTTCCACTACATGGTTTCTCTCCACCTACTTTTCCCAAAATTCTCATCTCTTAGTCCCGCCTATCTTCCTGCCTCTATTGGCCAAACACTGTTTTATTCATCAACCAATAAGCGAAACACATATACAGAAGGATATCCTTCATAATATGTGTGTGTGTATGTATGTGGGTTTTTTTTTTGGGGGGGGGCAGAGTTTCTCTGTACATCCCCGGCTGCCCTGGAATTCATTGTGTAGACCAAGCTGTTCTCAAACTCAGAGAGATCTATTTGCTTTTGCTTCCCAAGTGCTGGGATCAAAGTTGTACACCACCATGCCTGTTACATATTATTACCTATTTTAATTTTTATTATTTATTTATTTTGGTTTTTCAAGATAGGGTATCTCTGTAGTTTTGGAGGCTGTCTTGGAACTTGCTCAGTAGACCAGGCTAGCCTCAAACTCTCTGCCTCCCAAGTGCTGGGATTAGGTGTGCACCACCACTGCCCACCTCATTTTAATTTTTAATGAAAGCATGTAAAGAGTTGCTCAGCACACTTTCCCTACAAAAAATGAAAGCTGTAGAGTAGGTACATTCTGAAAAAACAGAGACTAGACTAGTAACAACTGAGGTGCTATAAAAAACAATTTTTAGAAATTTTATACTTTTTTTGTTTTGGTTTGTTTTTGAGACAGGATTTCTCTGTGGCTTTGGAGGCTGTCCTGGAACTAGCTCTTGTAGACCAGACTGGTCTAAAACTCACAGAGCCCCGCCTGCCTCTTCCTCCCAAGTGCTGGGACTAAAGGCTTGTGCCACCACTGCCCGGTAATTTTATACTATTTTAAAAAGTCATGTTCTCAGCCAGGCAGTGGTGGCTCACAGCTTTATTCCCAGCACTCAGGAGGCAGAGGCAGGTAGATCTCTGTGAATTCAAGGTCAGCCTGGTCTACAGAGTGAGTTCTAGGATAGCTAGAGCTATTATACAAAGAAACCCTATCTCAAAAAACATCAATGAATCAATCAATTAAAAATAAGACATGTTCCCTTCCTAACATGTTCTAAAACCTAATAAGGTTTTAGATCCTCCAGGGGAGACAACTGTGTAATTTTCATGAAGAGGTTCTAATCATGATCATTATTAACACAGGCTGTTAGGGCTTAATCTGGATTTTTCAGAGTCACTACAGTGACATGGTTAAAAGAATGGGTATCAGAGAGCTCAGAACAGGCATTTGAACAAGCACAGTTAACAAGACTGACAGAATCCCATCACATACGCTTCCAGTTCCTGCTTCATCTTTGTGAATTCTTCCTTTGTCATTGACCCTTCCCCTTCTCCAAGCTTCTGCAGTTTTTCCCGTGAAGCATCAAAATCAGGTCTTGGTGGTGCTGGTGGGATCTATAATAAAAACAAAACACCAACTTTAAGGAACTAGTTCTTTCTTTTTTTAGCATTTATTTTAGGTGTGCATACACACACTTGCCCAAGCATGTAAAGAGGTCAGAGAACAACCTGCAGGACTTGGTTCTCCCCTTCTACCATATGGGACCCAGGGCTCACACTCAGGTCTTCACGGCTTAGTGGCAGATATCTTTTTACCTGGTGAGCCATCTTGTCAGCCCTATTTCATGTCTTTCAGCACTGTACCACACTGCCTGAAGATGGCAGCTCCCTGTACTCAGGAGGCAGAAGTAGAACAGCTGCAAATTGGAGACCAACCTGGCTTACCTAATACTTTTCAGGATAGCCTTAATTACAAAGTGAAACACTGCCTCAAACAAAACAAAACTCTGAATTGATAATGACAAGATGTAATAAATGAATTGAGCAAGGCTGGAAAGATAGCTCAGTTGTGAAGAGCACTGGCTGCGCTTCCAGAGGTCCTGAGTTCAATTCCCAGCAACACATGGTGGCTCACAACCCTCTATAATGAGATCTGGTAACATGTAACACCGCATATATAATAAATAAATCTAAAAAAAAAAATGAATTGAGCACCTGACATACCAAAATTATTGAGATCAGAAAACTTCACTAGTTTTAGAAACCAAGATCTGTGGGGTTCCTTTATAAGAAAAAATATAGTATAACATTATTTTATTAGCTTGCAGCTCAAGATGACCTACAACTTGCAGCAAACCCTCTTGGTTCACCCCTCCACGTGCCCAGCTCCCATAATACTATTTTTTTTCCCAATTAGGGTTTCTCTGTCACTGTGACTGTCCTGGAACTCGCTCTGTAGACCAGGCTGGCCTCACACGCATAACAGATCAGTGTCTTGCTCAGCCATCAGAGAAGCTGATGGCAACAAATACAGAGACCCACAAGGACAATGCATAGAGAGTGAGAGGCCTTGGAACACCCAATCCTACCGTGAGATGTCATTATTAAATCCCCCCTCTTGGGGCTCAGGGACCTGTCTGGAAGACGAGATGGATGACACCAAAGAAACAGGGCCTTCTAAATATAACAGGACTGACACACACATGAATTCAGAGATGGTCTGCACAGGTCCAAGCCAGATGGGGTCCCAGAAATGACAGGAGGAAGTAGACGTGATCTCCCATCCCTAACCCAGAAGCTATCTCCAACTGATAACTTCTTACAAAGCAGTCTCACTGGGTATACAAACCATGCTAAAGGGCAGGCCTCATGCCCAGCAGTAGATGGCCAACATAAAAGGAATTCAAGAGTATCTTTAGAGATTTTCTGAGTGTGTGTCTATGTTTTATTGGTCTTTTGCTTATATATTATGGCTTCCAACCTATGTGTGAATATGTCCACCGCCCTCTATTTGTTGTTTTATTTGCCTGTAGGTTTTCTGAAGAGGAAAAGAAGGTGTGGGGCTGGATGGGTGGGGAGGCAGAGAGGATCTGGGAGGTGCTGAAGGAGAGGAAGCTATGATCAGAATATATTGTATGGGAAAAAATTACACTTCCAACTTTTAAAAAGCCCAAATAAATAGATAAATATTCATTGATTTGTTTGCTTGTTTGAGACAGGGTTTCTTTGGGAAACAGTCCTGGCTGTCCTGGAACTCACTCTGCAGATCAAGCTGGCCTTCAACTACTCACAGAGATCTAAGTGCTGGGATTAAAGGCGTGTATCACCACCCCCCAGCTCATTAAATTTTTTAATTAAAAAAAAATGATGTGCATTCTTGTTTTGCCTGTATGTATGCCTTTACACATGTGTGCCTAGTGTCCACAGAGGCCAGAAGAAAGCATTGGGTCCCTGAACTGGAGTTCCAGATGATTGTGAGCTGCCATGTGGATGCTGGGAACTGAACTTGGGTCTTCTGCAAGAGCAGCAAGTGCTCCTAACTGCTGAACCATCTCTCCAGTCCCCCTAAATTAAAAAACATTTAAAACTAAAAAATTGCTATGAGAAAAGGGACAGAGTCAGAGAGCAGCAGGTACAGTTCCGCATATACTCCCTGAGCAGCTCTGACACAGCAGGTACAGTGTGGAATCCATGGTATATAGACATCAATCAGACAGTCTAATGTCTACTGATAGACAAACTAGAAAAAAGGCATCTTCACACAAGAAGGTGGGGGAAAAGATGCAATTAGAATGCAAAAAGAAGACTGTATTATTGGTCATTCACCAAAATCTAAGCTACAGAAAGGAAACACTTGACTCAAGTGGTTGCTGGCCTCTGGATGGAAACAGAGTCAGGCCATAATGACCTCAAGGAAATCATAAATTTCAGGACTCTGAATGTGCTCAACAGCTGAGGAAGAATAACCGCTTACTCTTGATTACAACATCTTAGGCACCTTCTAATCTCTAGATTTCTCTCCATTCAAGCATCTGAAAACCAGTACAGTTTGTAACATACCTAAATTAATCACCTACACCAATACTAATTATCCATGTTTAGGAGGGCTCATGCCTATAACCTTAGCACTTGAGAATCAGAATCAAGACTGTTACAAGTTCAAGGTCACTCTGAACTACACAGTGAGTTCCAGAACAGCAAGGGGCTAGACAACACAGCAAGACTCTAATTTGAATAAACAAAAAAAAAAAAAAAAAGAATTCAAGGTTAAGCAAAAAAGTATAGTCTTTTCAAAGTAAGACAAGACAGCTCAGGATAAGAGGCCAATGCCTCACAACTGGCATTTTTACAAATCACATCAGTTACTAAAATGCTAAACAAAACCACCTGAGTTTCTAAAATGTTCTTAGGAAATGAAACTCAGGCTGGGGAGACGTTTAGCAGTAAAGACACAAGTTCTTGCAGAGGAAAGGAGCCAAGATCAGTTCCTAATACTGTTGGGTGGCTTACAACCACCTATAACCCCAGCTCCAGGGACATCTGAGGCCTCTGGTCTCCGCAAGCACCTGTACTAACATGCACACAGCCACACACATAATTTAAATAAGAGATGGAGAGATGGCTTAGCAGTTTGGTACTTTCCCACAGGACCCTAGTTTGGTTCTTAGCACCCATGTCAGGCAGCTCATAAAGTTCCTGTAACTCCAACTCCACGGAGTCTCTTCTGGCTTGTGTGGACATACACACACCCCTAGATGCATGCACATTAAAAAAAAAATCTTAACAAGAAAATAAAACCTAATACTTACAATGTAACCTGCATAGTCTTCATTTTCAACGAAGGAATCATGGAGCCAGATAAATTCCTCATGTTGTCGAACGACTGAAAATTCATTTTGTTTAAAATTTGGCAATGAACTCTGCAAAGACAGAAATTTTTTTGAATAAAAGTAAAATTATCCTTGGATCTTTGAAAAAAACCATCAACAGGCACCCATTTATTGTACCATTATCATCACTTGAAAGTTACACTATCAGTTGGGTATGGTGGCACTCACCCAGAAGTCAAGAAGCAGAGGCAAGGCAGATCTACAAAGTGAATTCCAGGACAGCCAGAACTACACAGTCAGACAGACAGACACAGACACAGACACAGACACAGACACACACACAAACGTAGAAATTAAATTTATAGTTGTTGTCTTAATTCCTAAAATCATAAGTAACCTCTCCTGCCTGGTCTATACAGCCAGTCCCCAGACAGGCAGAACCACACATCCAAAATAAGCAAATAAATAAATAAATAAGCAAAGCAAACCAACAAAAAGTAACTTCCCTAAAAGTTCCAATCAATATATTACAGAAGTAACAGCATTTTTAAAGGAATACAAACTACAAAGTCCCACTTTACCTTCGTGTGAACAGTGAATTTGACTTTATCCCTTTCGCTAAGAGCATCCGAAATGTCCACTTGAAGAACAGCATCACTTTGGAGATCTACATTTATTGCTTTAAGCTAAAAAAAGAAAGAGAGCACGGCATAAAGAAATTTCTATTTTAAATGTATGTGCGCATTTGTCTGCAAGTATATAAGTACATCTTGTGCATGAAGGAGCCCATCGGGGTCAGAAGAGGCGTGAGATCCCCTGGAACTGAAGTTACTGCAGTTATAAACTGCCATGTGGGTGCTGGGAACTGAACTAGGATCCTGTACAAGAGCTGGAAGTGGTCCTAACCGATGAGCCATCTTTCCAGTCCCCCTTTCTCTTTTTAAAAAGATAGTAGGTTGCCCTCAAACTTGTGATCTTCCTGTATCTGCCTTCTGAGGGCTGGAACTAAAAAAGTGTGCATCACCAAACCTGGCTCTGTGTACTTGTATGTAACTTCATTCTCCTTCCAACAATAAGACAACACAAAACCAAAACAGATAAGGGCATGAACTCTTCTGAGGTCCCAGCACTCAGAAAGCTGAGGCAGAATGATAAACACAAGACCAGTTTGGACTACATAGCTAGACCCCAACTTAATCTCTACCATCAAAAATGTAAGGAATCTTTTTACTTTTTGGTTTGTTTTTTAATCCATGTCCAAACCACTTTAAAAATAATTACTGTGGCAGGCTGGCTAATGGCTCCTAAAAGTATCTCTACCCAAATCTGCAATCTGTGAATGGGCCTTATGTGGACAAGAAGCCTTTGCAGATTTGATTCAATTAAAGAGTTCTGAGATGAGATTATTCTGGTTCATCTAGGTATGCCTTTAATCTTTAAAGACAAACAACTCCAAATGATGGGCCCAGTCCTTTGGAGGCAGAAGTGGGTGGAGCTCTGTGCTCTATAAGTTACAGGCAACCTGATCTACAGATCAAGTTTCAAGCCAGCCAGGGCTATATAGTTTTGCAATACTGTCTCCAAACAGGACTGACTACTTCAACTGAGAGAAAGCAACATGACTACAAAGATGGGAGCACTGCAGCCACCAGTAAGGACTGAAGAGAAAGGAAAAGACCCCACAGAAGATACCTGGGTTAATGCTGATTTATTTATTTTATTTGTTTATATTTCATGTATGAGGCTGGAGAAATTGGCTCAGTGGTTATGAGCACTGGCTGTTCTTCTAGAGGACCTGGATTCAATTCCCAGCACCCATGTGGCAGCTCACAGCTCACAACTGTAACTCCAGTTCTAGGAGATCTGACACCCTCACACAGACATGGTGGCAAAACACCAATGCATGTGAAATACAAATATATTTTATGTATGAGTGCTCTGCATGTATACCTACAGGCCAGCAGAGGGCACCAGATCCTATTAAGATAGTTGTGAGCCACCATGTGGTTACTGGGAATTAATGATGGACCTCTGGAAGAGCAGCCAATGCTGTTCTTAACTGCTGAACTATCTCTCAGCCCCTAATACTGATTTCTAACTTACAGAATTATGAGAATAAATTGATGTTGATTTAACCCATTTGTGGTAATTTGTTGCAACACCCAGAGCAAACTAGTACATCAGGCATACAGGTTTTTGGAATAATTTTACATTTCCCTATTTTGCTCTTTTTTTTTTTTTTTTTTTTTTTTTTTTTTTTTTTTTTTTTAAAGCACAAGCTAGTGAGTGGTGGGTGGGGTGGGGTGTCAGGGTTGATTCTTGCACATGGTAAGGAAGTGCTCTACTACTGAGCTACATCCCCAGTTCACTTTTCCTCATCTGTCATAGTTTCTTTTTCTTTCTTTTTTAAAGATTTTATGTATTTATTATGCATACAGTCTTCTGCCTGCATAGGGCACCAGATCTCACTCAAGGTGGCTGTGAGCCACCATGTGGTTGCTGGGAATTGAACTCAGAACCTCTGGAAGAACAGTCAGTGCTCTTAACCTCTGCTCCAGCCCTTCCTTCCCTCCCTCCCTCCCTTCTTTCTTTTTTTTTTTTTTGGTTTTTCCAGACAGGGCTTCTCTGTAGTTTTGGAGCCTATGCTGGAACTCGCTCTGTAGACCAGGCTGGCCTCAAACTCACAGAGATCTGCCTGCCTCTGCCTCCCGAGAGTTGGGATTAAAGGTCTGAACCACCAATACCCGACCAGCTGTCAGGTTTTCATTGCCTAGATTAGCATTTCCCAAACACAACTGCTCAGAATCAACCTGACACCAGGTGTGGTGGTGCACATCTGTAATCGCAGGAGGTACAAAAGGAGTGAGTTTGAGGCCAGCTTAGGTTACATACTGAGCAATGGGCCAGTCTGACATACATGCTAGGACCCTGTCCCAGAAAACAGAGATTACCGAAGATTATTAAAGTAATTTTTTCTTTCACTTCCCCTTCTTTCAGTATCAAATACAATGCCCTCCCCCTTTATGGACAGCACAATGCTTGGCTTTTCCTTGTTTGTTCTAAGTTTTCACTATAGCCCAGGCTGACCTTGAATTCAAGGACTCCTAAGTGCTGGCCTTTATAGGTATGATGGTATTATAGGCACCTACCATCATGCCAGCTAACAACTGTCATTTTGATTCTTCAATCTCTATAAATATCCCTGTGGCACATAATGAATACTTATTAATCCAGTGGCTCTCAGCCTTCCTAATACAGTTCCTCATGCTGTGTCGCTTGACTCCACAACCATAAAATTATTTCACCGCTTTTTTTTTTCCCCTTGGTTTTTCGAGACAGGGTTTCTCTGGATAGCTTTTGGAGCTGGTACTGGAACTCGCTTTGTAGACTAGGCTGGCCTCCAACTCAGAGATCCACCTGCCTCAGTCTGCCAAGTGGCGGGACTAAAGGCACACGCCACCAACGCCTGGCTCATTGGTACTTCTTAACTGGAATTTTGCTGCTATTATGAATCATAATGTAAATATGTGTTTTCTGATGGTCTTAGGTGACCCCTGTGAAAGGGTTGTTCAACCCCCAAAAGGGGTCTCAGCCACAAGTTGAGAAATATTTAGTCCATGATTCAAATTTTTAGGTAAAATTTACATATAATATACAAGTCTTAAAATTTGAAGTCTTAACAAACACACATGTTGCAAAATGTCAAAGTGAAATAATGAACATTTCTATCACTTCCAGAGAGTCCTTTGTGCCCCTTTAACAAAGTCAACTTTTCTGCTGTTAGTCTTGTGTGTGGCTTATGCATATGTAAGGAGATGCTTGTGCTGTGAAGGCAAATGCCAATGTCAAGTGTCGTCCTCTGTCACTCTCCACCACATTTGGTTTTGCTTGGGATAAGGTATCACTGTATAGCCCTGGCTACACTGGAACTTGCAATGTAGATCAGGCTAGGATCCCCTCCCAAGAGCTACAATTAAAGGAGTATGACATCATGCCCAGCTCATCATATTTTTTGAGATAGCATCTCTCACTAAACCTGAAGCTGGCAGTTTCGGCTAGCCTGTATGGTCAACCACCTCCTAGGATCTACCTGTCTATGTCCACCCAGCCAGTTCGGAGTCACAAACATTCACTGCCATGTCTAACTTGTTTTTTCAGCAGGTTCCAGGAATCTGAACTGAGATCCTCAAGCCTAGATTTTCAAGGTTGTGCAGCAAGAACCTCACCTGGTGAGTCGTCCCCCTGCCCTAGTTAACTTGCTAACTTTTCTGTCACTTCTCTTTTGCATATTATTAAAGCATATTATACTTTTCACTAATGCCTTAACAGTGATTAATTCAATCTACCATGTCTTTTTCACTCTTTAAAAATTGGAGTTTACCACTCATTCCAAAAGCAATACCTAGTTTTAGAACTGATCTTAGAAAGTGCATGCCAGCTGGGTGGTGGTGGCACATGTCTTTAATCCTAGAACTTTGGAGGCAGAGGCAGGTGAATCTCTGAATTCAAGGCCAGCCTGGTCCAGGGGTACACAGAAATAGCCTGGCTGGGAAAACCAAAAGAAAGGGGAGTACAAACCAGTCTCCGGTGCTGAAACTTTTCTCAGCTCTTCATGACACAAATGCAACACTGACCCCCTTCTTTCATTTGTATTTCATCACCAATACAAAATACCACCCAGAGGGCTCCTTCCTATAGATTCTTCCTATAGTTAGTTTCTGCATTCACCATGCACCCCAGTAATTACTTCCCAGTTCCTGAGCACACAGAAAGGTAGACATAAAGGATTGTTTTACATGACAAGAAGTTGCTCTTCACATAATAAGACTTTTTACAAGTCCTGTTAATAATAACCAAGGTAACAGGAAAGTCAGTCTCTAAAATGAAAGTCCCCGTGCTTCCTTACCTCAGGCAGCACTGTATCATAAAATAAAATCACTCCCACATCAGCACAAAGTTTAGCTGAAAGTTAATTTGCTAAATTGCTTTAATGCATTTTCTCCTGGTTTTTGAGATATGGTTTCTGTAACAGCCCTGAGTGTTTTGGAGCTTGCTCTGTAGACCAGGCTGGCCTCAAACTCACAAGACATCTACCTGCTTCTGCCTCCCCAGTGCTAGAATTAAAGGTGTTCATCAACCCAACCCACCCCCGTTGTTCAGTGCATATTTTTATATTTTAACATACAGAAATAGAGCTTTTCAGGTTTTTTGTTTTATTTATTCATTTATTTTTGTTTTTGGAGACAGGATTTCTCTGTATTGCTTTAGAATCTGTCCTGGAACTTGCTCTGTAGACCAGGCTGGCCTTGAACTCACAGAGATCATTCTGCCTCTGCCTCCCAAGCACTGGGATTAAAGGCGTTCGCCACCAACACCAGGCAGAAATAGATCTTTCACTCAATGGAAAAACTACATTTTAACTATATTTTCTTTTTTTTTGGTATTACACTGAAAAAAACTTTAAAACATTATATTGTAAGTTTTATGGTAATTACACAAATTATACAGATTTCCCAGGTACTCTTTTCCATTTTGGGGATGGGGGGAGGGAAAGTAACTTTAGAAGTGTTTATGAAAGGAAAGACTTCATGCAAACAACCTGTGATCACCAACATTTAATTAAATTTTTCCAACTAGTGAGTTCAGTCTCAAGAACTTTCTAATTAGACTTTAACTGGTTTAATCT